TGTCTGTCTGCCTCTGACTCAACGTGTTGAAGACGGGGCACCTCGAAGCAGCTCAAAATGGCTGATGGATGCAAACAAGTGCGCTTGCAGTCCCGTTGGTCACACCGTCCATCCCACGTTAAATGTCGCGTTTCTTTTCAGCATTTGTAACGCTCCTGAAATGGTTTCTGAAGTACCAGATTAAATCTGAAATGTGTTTCAGTTTGTGTTCCACGGAAGTCAGTTTAGTGCCGCTTTTGCTTATTGCTCTTTATGGATTGCTTCGCAGAGCGAGGGGCTCTTTGCAGAATGCAACGCATGCTTTCCTTCGCCTCTATTTTGGTTTTTAAATGAAAGTAGTTTTTATCATTATGTGTTGCATGTTATATTTTAATACCCTTTCTGATAGCGACTGCTGGGTGTGCCTGGTAGCTTGCAAAAATCAGAGCTTCCTTATGCGTCTCGGATCATATGATTTACCGGGGATTAGGCGGGCAGCTCTGGGACATCTCGTTTGCTAACGGCTGGGATGGCTTTCTCAAAAGGCAGCAGATGCAGGCTGTGTGTGCACCCTGCTCGAGAAGGTGGCCCGTGGTCTGCAGGGAGGCAGCCCTGGCACCGAGGTCGTAGCGGAGGCGGTGCAGAGTGAGCGTGAGGACTGCGGTGGGGTGCCCGCTCGTAGCGGTGGCAGCCCCCATGGGGGCTGGACCTCCGGAGGAAGCAGCACCGTGCAGGGCACTGCGGGCACTTGCCTCGCTGTGGGAGAGACGCCGACGCCGCTGCCAGCCGTGGAAATCCTTCTCTCTCTCTGACAATACCGACCTCTGTGTTTTGGGGCTCAGGCCCCAACGCTGTGGTGAACGTGTGCAGGTTAGGTACTGTAGTCCTGTCTGCTGCACCACCGGTGCTCATCTAGGTACAACATTTCCACATAGCTTCTTAAAAACTGTGGTGATTTACCCTACTGCCTAGAAAATATGGAAGGACACGTGTCCTGGGTTTCAAAGTATCGCTACGACTTCAGCCTTGGTCTTTTGCAATTGGTTCCTTGGCAACACCCTGCAGCACCGGGTGTTGTAAGCAGTTTGGTTGTTAACAGATTTGGTTGGTAAAAAGTATTACTGGGTTACCATTTCAGGTATTTTATAGTGTCAGCTGTTAGCGAGTGAACGTAATGTCCATTTCTTAAATGCAGCTCTTCACCACTGACCAAGAGCAAGTAATGAACTGAGTCCATTGCTGAAGTGTAGGACAGTAGCTAAAGCTTTCCTCCAATTGCAGAGTTATGCGTAACATCTTAGGACATCTTTATGCTCTCTGCAAAACAGCGATCCTGCGAAGTAGTGATGAACAAAGCAGCTGCAGAACGCAAGTTCGGCGTTGTGCTGACTCAGCGGCTTTGCTCCTGCAGCCCGAGAGGTGCTGCTCGTCCCAGGGGTCAGCTCCACTGCTGTGCTGTGCGGGCAAGCCCCCACATCGCTGCATCTCTTCAGCACTTTGTTATTCTTCCTACAGGCTCACAGTGATCAAATTTAAAAATCCAGAGTGCCCCATTTTTTTTGCTTTACAAAGAGTCAGGCAAAGAAACAGATCATACAAAATCTAACAGCAAGGGTGAGTTAGAGCTCCGGAGACAGAGGTGCTGTTCCTTGCTGCAAAGTTTCAGCTTGAGTTTCTGAAATTCTCTTTCTCAGCAGGAGGAGCAAAGTCAGAGAGTGGCAAAAGTAAGAGTGAAGTAATGTCGTAACTTAGGTTTTAAGCCAAAATTTGACAAACTGGGGTGTTTTACTGGCTCTGTAAGCGTATGCATTATACTTCTGTGTGTGGGCACGCGGGTTTCTGACTCACGCCATATGATCTCTTTTCTGATGGCTCCTAAAGGAAGCATGTGCTCTAGAACATCATGAGTAAACAGCTCTGCAGAGTGCCATTTCAAGCCAGTTCTGCCTGAGTTTGGCCTATTACAGAAGCTTGTCCCATGCTTCCAAAATGGCATTTTCCAGACACCCCTGGTAACTGCCCTGGGGGCTAGCAGTAGCTAAATACTAAGCTCACCAGTGTACAGCTGTGTACCTGATTTCCACTCCTGTCCTGCTGAGAAAACCCTTCAGTACCAGAAGAGGTACTAGCTAGTGTGCAGCTGGTGACTACAGGTCCATCAGAGGATGTCATCCCTCTGGAAGATGGGATAGGGGAAGAGGGGACACCCAGCGCCTTTCTCCCCCTTACCTCCTTGCAAATAATGTGTGCAGGGAGGGTTTTGGAGAGGCTGGATGTGTCCATGGGTAGTGGCTTCCCCTTAAGAGAACTCAGGCTTTGAGCATTACCTTGCTTCCCCTCTGTCCCCACCAATTCCTTAAGAAGCTGATCTAAATAAACCCAGTTAAAAGGGGAAAAAGGGGGAAAAAAAAAAAAGAAAAAAAAAAAGTAGAACAGACCAGCACAAGCATGCAGAAAGCAATTGCTTAACTGACAGGGAGGTAGACAAGCTATGGCATTTGCAAAAATACTGCTTTTTAGAGAAAGTGCTTCATAGACCAGCTGGCTTGCTGCATTCAGGTCTGAGCTGCCTTAAGGAATTCATTTAAAAGTCTGCTATCAAACCAGACTTTATGCTGCCTGCTCCAGAAACTTTCCTGTGGCACATGGAGTGCCGAGGAGACTCACGGTGCATTATCCAGACTGCTTTGGCCTCTTAGGAAAGCAGTGCGAAGAGCAGAATTTCTCTTTCTAATTTTAATCAGCTGAACGAGTTAAAAGCTTGGTGAAATAGCCTAATGGCACGGTCACGCTAGAGACAACTGCAGCTGTGAAAAGACTGTGTTAAGAAACAGGATGGTTGTGGTCTGCTGTAAGAAATAATTTTCCTGTTGACTATTTTTTTAAACAGGAAGCTGAAGAACAAAGCAGTGTTAGTCTTGGCGCTTTTAATAGGCTTCAGATTTCAGATATTGCATTTAGGATAAGCAGATCAGGAAAGGATAGGGCTTTGTGCTGGGTTTTATGTAACAGCTGACAGCTACAACTACGGAAGTCAGGAGCGTAACTGGATCCAAGCAGATCTCCGAATGTGAGGCTGGTCCTTCCCTGGAGACACCGTAAGATGCGCAGTGATGCACCAGAGGGCTGCTGAGAGCACACCAGTCCGCTTGCAGGACTTTGCCAACGCGTGTGTTTGCGCAGCCCTGCGTAGGCTTGGCTTCGCACAGTTTCCTCTTTGTCAGTCAGTCAGTCTGTCCGTCCGCCAGCTTCCCCTCTGCTCTGCTTGCTCTTTTGCAGTAACTGGAAAGAGAAACAGTTTCTGCAGTACGGGGGAAGAAAACCTGTAAACACTAGAGAGAGGGGCAGTGCCTCACGCCACTTTGAACTCCGTGGTTTTATTCTAGATAGTCAGCCAGAGCTAGGAGTGGTGTGTCCGACTCCTTTCCAAGCCCTGTCCTCCCTAAAGATTTTAGACAAAATCCATTAAAGTCGTATTTCATAAAAGTTTTCCTCTAAAGAAGGTAGCTCAGCAATTTCTTGTGTGTGCGGATTTATAGCTGTATTCTAATTCTTTTGAAGCATGAGCATCCAACAAGATAAATCTGTACTTCTAACCATTTTTTTCCTCACACGCATAGCATGGATCATCTCAGAGCCATTACAGAGCTTATAGGTGGTGACTCGCCTCAAACCCTCACTGCAAATGCTGTTTTGTTCCATTCAGAACATTTTCCTAATGCTCATTTAAACTGTGAAGGGTACTGTAGCTAGCATGATGTGGATTTGGCACATACTGTGCTATTACAGTTCTCTTTGGCTTTATCAAAACCAAGTGACTTCAGAAAGTAAGAGCTGTGTATTCTTGTAAATAACTGCCCTCGGGACCTTAGCCGTTAGCCTGGGGTTGTCTGGAGAATAACCCTTATTCCTCTTCCCACTGTGTTTACCTGTCTTGTGCAAACTTTATATAAATGGTGGCAAATCACTGTTACTAAAGCTGGCACAGGTGAATGGGCAAGAACAAAGCACGTGCCAAAATGCCAAAATCGCACCATTAGAAAAGCCCCGGAGCCTCCGATAGGCATAGTTCCAGGGAGCAGTGTGCCAAAATGCCACAACGCCCTTGTGACTTGAAAAAAATTCCTCAGTGTTTGCCCCCCCCCTTTTTTTTTTGTGTTTAATATTGTAATTGCAGTAAAGTTCTGCATCTCAAGTGTGACCCTCCTAGGACTGCCCTATGTTGGAAGTTCTGCTTGGGGTGAGTGGGGTAAAACAGGAGCCTGGCCTCCAGCAGGGAAGCTCGGGGCAGGCTGAGCTTTGGCGGGCAGGCTGAGCTTTGGCAGCCGGGCTCTTCCCTCTGGGGCAGCCTGCGGCTGAGAGGCCGGGCTGCCTGCTTGCTCTTCCTCCTCTGGGAAAGAGCACAGAGCATGACTGTGTGTGCTGCTCCTGAGGAGGAGGAAGGTGCATTCCGAGGTGGTGATGGAGCTTGGAGTCTTCAGAGCAAGCAGGGAGAAAGGAAGAAGCGGGAGTCTTTCCTAGAGCTCTGCTGTTCCACCCTCCCCATAACAGCGTGTGTAGGAGGGGATCTTCCAACAGTTTAAGGGCTTTAAAAGGTCAGCATCTCTTTCTGAGTATAATCTTAAAGAGATGATGCCTCCTTGAAGTAAGGGTTGATGGTATAGCTATGGGATTATCCTGAACTACTTTCACAACAAGATTGTTGGATTAAACAGACTTCAGTTTTCTTACTGCATTTTTGTGCATTGCCATAGCAAAGCATGGGTCGTGTATGTGTGCAAAACTGGATATGTATGTCTGAGTTTGTGTGGCAATGGGGATTGTGTAGGGAGCCCCCATTTTAAGGATGCAGCTGGTTTCCATAAAATGAAACATGAAGTGCTTTTCACAGATTATTTAGATTTAGAAAACGTGGCAGATAAACCTGTTAGCTGCAAGAAGGCCTTTTAGCTGAGTAGAAAGTTATTTATTAAGATTTACTAATCTCTGGGCCTTGTGTGTTTCTGTGTTTTGCTGTGCAGGTTTCTTAGCAAGACCAGACGGAGCTCAGCCTTCCACCATGCCTGTGCCTCCCCCCCCAGCTCCCCCTCCGCCCCCAACACTGGCCTTGGTAAGTTTTACAGGAGGTACCGTACATACTGTCCTCTGCTGCTTATCATATTGAACGGGACATCCAGAGGCACTGAGGTGTATGCATGGTATATGGGGAAAGCTCTCCTGACATTTTGTTTACAGTTGATGATTGATCCTACAAGAGGGACCATCGCTTCCACTCCCTTCCAGTGCCCATATAGCTCCATCCTCCTCTGCCTCCCACACTGGTGGTTTGATCTGATGTAGGGATCCTGGGTGGAGAGGCTCAGCTCCTCAACAGCTTGTCTAAATCAAGGGAATTGAAGCCTTGCTCTTCCCTTGCTTTTCTCCAGCCCCCACCTTCTCCCTTGTTCTACTCTAGTACTTACATGACCAGAGCTGGAAAAAATCAGTTCTATTGTTTAAATTTGGCAAGGGTAATTCTCAGCCAGCGTAGCTCCCCCAGCCAGCCTGTCATATCAGAGCCCAGGATCCACTGCTGGCACAGCGTGGTGGGTGAGACTACGTCGGACCTAACCTAGGTCAGCCTAAGCTGGAACAGAGCTTGTGCTGTGTTTGCCCTGTGACAGTCAGTCACCTCACTGACAAGAAAGAAAAGGCTTCTTCAAATGTGATTGTAAAGTACTCAGATATTTTCACAGCAAATCCCTAGCTGGTTACAGAGATAGGTTGGGCTGTGCCGCTGAAGGGTCTTTCCCTCGTTTTCCACCACAAGCAAGATACAGTCTCTGTGCTTGGTCCCTCCATGGCAACTCTCACCACCTTTCAGGAAATTTCCCTAACATTGATCAGATAAGTTAGAAGGCTTTTCAGGAACCACTATTTCCTAGAAGAAACAACCATATATACATAAGAGTGTGTGTGTGTGCATGTATGTGTGTGTTTGGGGTTTTTTTGGTTCTTTCTTGAAAAACTGTGTCACCAAAACGTAAACTAAAAAGGGAGGACCATCAAGATGAACCTCATGCATCTAAAGGTTTTACTGGGTCTGTTTGAAGAGGTCTATGTTGTTGAGGTGGTGATTACTATTTTAAAGTATTTCTATTAAAACTAAAATAGTAGATAAAGCTCCATCTTTCTTCTGATTTACCCAGAATTTGTATATTAAGAGTTTTCACTACAACTTTCAAGAATGTCCACCTTTTTGTGTAATCAAATCATGTGTGTAGTCTGTTCTTGTTCAGTCTCCAAAATGGCAATTTGCCACGGATGTGCCTTGGCTTTAAAAAAATCAGAGACTCTAAATCTTGAGTTAAAAAAATGTAAATTCACATAAAAGCGTTCTGTTTCCAGTGAATAGCGTGGGTTAGAATAGCAGCAGTGTTTGGGGCCTCAAATCAGTGACAAGGCTGGCTACCTATAACATCATCCACAAAACCAGATGTGGCATGCTACCCACTCCAGTGCTGTGAAAACAGAAATTGAGATCTCAAGTAACTACCATATTTGAGCAGAACTTTGTAGCTAGAAGTTGAGGTTTATTTTGCCTCCTCATTTTTAATTTTATTTTGCAGGCAAATACTGAAAAGCCATCCCTAAGCAGGTCAGAACAAGCAGGGCGAAATGCTCTATTATCTGATATTACCAAAGGAAAAAAGCTAAAGAAGACTGTTACTAATGACAGAAGTGCTCCGATTCTTGACAGTAAGTATGATTCGGCATGTTGGAGTTTCTGTGTGTGAACAGTTCTACATATCTGAATGCAGAAAATTATTTTATATATCATCAGATGAACTGCCACAAGAGAAGTGGCTTGTATCAGGAATAGCGTGGCCAGCAGGAGTAGGGAAGTGATCGTGCCCCTGTACTCAGTGCTGGTGAGGCCCCACCTCAAATACTGGGTTCAGTTTTGGGCCCCTCACTACAGGAAAGACATTGAGGTGCTGGAGCGTGTCCAGAGGAGAGCAACAAAGCTGGTGAGGGGTCTGGAGCACAAGTCTTAGGAGGAGCGGCTGAGGGAACTGGGGTTGTTTAGCCTGGAGAAGAGGAGGCTGAGGGGAGACCTGATCGCCCTCTACAACTGCCTGACAGGAGGCTGTAGCCAGGTGGGGGTCGGCCTCTTCTCCCTGGTAATGGACGATAGGATGAGGGGAAATGGTCTGAAGTTGCGCCAGGGCAGGTTTAGGTTAGACATTAGGAAAAATTTCTTCACAGAAAAGGTTGTCAGGCACAGGAACGGGCTGCCCAGGGACGTGGTTGAGTCCCCATCCCTGGAGGTATTTAAAAGACAGGTAGATGAGGTGCTTAGGGACGTGGTTTAGTGGTGAGATGGCAGTGCTAGGTTAACGGTTGGACGTGATGATCTTAAAGCTCTTTTCCAACCTAAACGATTCTATGATTCTATTCTAAGTAGGTAAAACAAAATGCCAGAAGTTGGCATGCATAAAAATAAATTCGTGTTCATCATGGATTAAGTCAGATGAGAAATGAAGTTGTGCTTATGAAATGCGAGTGTTAATCTGTTTGCTTACTCTCATAAAGCAGTTCATTTTCATGTTTGCTCAAATCACTACGCAAACCCTGCTAGGAGCTCTGCTGAGGAGCTGCAGCAGATCAGGCAAACAAAACCCCCGTCAGGACTGAGGAGAGCACAGAGAATAAAGTGGAATTTCAGACTCTACTTTTGCATAAACAGCATAAAAATAAAGGCTCAACACCATTGGCTTGTTAGTGGCCCCAGTACCACTTAAAGCAAAACCGGAGCCAGGAGCCACAGCCCCACCTGTATGTCACTGCTGCACGCAATTTTGCCACTCCTGGAGTGACTCAGGGGTGTTATCTTTTTGGCTGAGCCTTGTTGCTCAAGCCTGCTCAGCGGTGCTCTCGCACAAGGCAGTAGCTCCACTTAACCTGAACGGAGAGAAGGTCTCTGTCCAGCTTTGCTGATGCTGTGCCTCACCATACAGCTCGGCAGGTGCTGAGAGGAGGCTGGAAAAGCACGTGGAGCAAAAGTACTGGGAAGACAGAACAGAGACGGGGGAAGAGCAAGGAACAAGGGCCTGCTACATCGGAGGAACAGCATTTATTGCCTAGGGAGAGAAGACACTTCTACAGACCGATTAGCAGATGTGATACAACTCAGTCCAGGTCTGTCCATGCTGGATTGTGATAGGAAGATGATGAGGCAAGAAGGAAATGCCCAAAGGAGTGTGACCAAATAAGAATAATAAAAAAAAATACAGTCGTGCAGTCAGCCAGGTACTTAGTTTTTAAACACTTGGGTATTATTTCTGAAAGCAAAGTTACAAGTTTTATTGTAATGAGCTGGAGAAAAGCAGTAAGGGGATTAAAGGAGGGGTAAGCAGTAAGGTTAAAATGATGCAGCCTATTATCTTGTTTACATGAATTTAAAAATCATGATGAAAGAGTAAACCATAGTAGCAGCATTTCTCCAGAGGTTCACGCCCTATGTGAGTCAGAGCTGAACTGAGCTAACATGCTTAAGAAAAGAGAAGGGCGACGTGAAACATTCTCCCGTGAATGCATTCTTCCTCCTTTTTTCTGGGTGCAATTATTAGAAGTGCTTTTCATCCACAGGTTTTAATTACTTTAAAGTCAGTGAAATTTTCACCCACCCAAAGTTGTGGAAATCGAGGTGCCAAGAAATTAAGCGATTGATCCTCAGCCACATAGCCTGTCATCTGAGAGCCGATCTCCACAGATATCCCAACCTGTGGGCCTGCTCCTTTTTTAGTGATGCTCTGAATGGGGGCTCTTGTCCGTATTTCTAGTTGTGAAACACTTTCATTTTACTTCTAGCATCTCAGCGTTGTCACAGGAGAAATATTGACATTAGAGAAATGGGAGAGGAGGGAGGAGCTGATAAAATAATTCCTGCCTATTGGAAAAATGAGCAGCTAATGATTTTGTCACTGCATTTCTGGACCTACAGGAAAGTAATCAGAAATTAAATCTCTTTCCCCACTAGGCTTTAAGTAAGTAGGTACGTTGCAACATGATCAATAATGACAGAGTTCTGTGCGTCCCCAGAAGGGATCACCAGAGACACCTCCAAGAGGAAGGACACCTCTGTCTTCCTCCTTCCTTCCTCATTTCCCGTGAGATTACCCTGTCTCTCGGTTTGCTTATGCAGAAGTGGAGGGGAGAGGGGAAGGATAAGAGAGTAAAGGTATGAAGAAACGGGAAGCAGCTACAAAGATGCTAACAAAGGCCACATGATACTCTCAGAGGTCCCATTCGTGCTCAGTTCCAAATTCTCCATAGTTGACTGTTTCTCTGCTTTCCAGTCCAGAGCAGACTAAAAGAAAGTGATGGCCTAACAGAACACAGTGGCTATGTTTATTGCACCACCTTTCCCATGGTGCAGTAGTGGTGGTGATGGTAGCTGTGATGATCCAACCTGAACAAGGACTTGTGTGTTTTGAAAGCTCATCCATTTTTCCCCAGCTACAAGTATTGCTCTAATGAACGAGATGATTTTGCAGGATCAGTCTCGCTTCTCTGCCTAATGTGGGGGACTTTTTCCCAACAGAACCCAAAGGACCCAGTGGAGGTGGCGGCAGTGGCTTTGGAGGAGGTGGCGGTGGCAGCGGCGGGGGTTTCGGTGGTGGCAGCGGTGGTGGTGGCAGCTTCGAGCCGAGATGCCGGTAAGAAAGACCTTGCAGTTCCAGTGTGAAAAAGTAAACAAAACGCAGTTTTTAGCTTGAACCTTGTTTTATTCTTAGTACTAATGAGGGAGAAGTGAGACTCCTCTTTCTACCCATCCTCCTAGTTATTGATGAAAACTGAAGATCTGAGCAATGTTGAATTGCTACCTGCAAAGCATGGTCAGGCAGACTAGGTCCAGCCTTAGCTGTGGGTGTGCAGGACCAGAGGGGAGCATAAGAGGATTCCAGGTCAATTCTCCCTTGTGCACCAGGAAAAAGGATCTACTTTCCAAACAAAGTACATCTGCATCAGCTCCACAACAGCGTGATTTACCACTCAGGGAGTGCGTGAGGCATCCCAGCTGGCTGGTACACAACACTGCAGTTGCAGGCTTGTCTGGGGCACGCATGGTGTTCTTTGGGCTGGCAAAAGAGCTGCCTGAAGCCTCGTGCCCCTTGAAACAAAGGAGACCTGGGCCCAGTGAGTTTTCTAGGGTTAAGGATGTAGGATTTCATGCTTGTTGAAGGAGGACTGGGCAACGGGGCTTGTAGGGTGTTACGAACCTTACATATTTTATAGACTAACGTAATTTTTTAGCACATGTGTACAAAACAGTCTCTCCGAGCTGGTATTTTGTACTGTGTCACAGTCTATATTGGGAACTTGTATTACTACAAAAGTTCCTGGCATGACAGAACAGTACTACTTCAATTGCAAGATTGGCTGCCTTCTTCCTGGCATGCACAAGTGCCTCCTAGGTGACAGCTACCAGAAAGGGCTGAAAAGAGCCTTCTGCCGGGCTGTTGTTGTTACGTATCATGTAAAAGCCAAGATTTCTTGCTTTCACGTTGATGGTATCAAACACTTGCTCTTCACTGGTTCTCCCCTCCCTGAGTTTGTGCTTGCTGTGCGATGGCCGCGTCCGTTGCGTTACCTTGCGGCCACTTTGGTCCCTCACAAGTTGGGGTTGGACTAGATGACCTCTAGAGGTCCCTTCCAACCCAAAACATTCTATGATTCTAAGTCGTCCCCCATAAGCGTTCCCAGGACGTAACTCGCTCCCCTGCAGTGGTTCCCCTATCAGGGCTGCCGCTAACCATTCCTGGGCGCCAGGCCCCGAGGCTA